TCGTTGTACTGTTGATATTTGGCTCTGTTGACGAATGAGTTTGCCGACCACTGGGCTAGGACAACAGGTCCTCCTTAGTCAACCATCACTCTGTTAAGTAAAGGGACTACTCAGCAGAGCCACCTCTCCTTGGCTAAACCAGCTGCTGGAATGCCATCTCCCATCTGACTTTTATTACAACAGGGAGACAGAGCTGAGGGCTCGTGGGCATCACTCAAGCTTTCTCTCCCACAGGCACCGGCACCTGCCCTTGTCACTGAGCATCCTTCATGCAGCCGTACTGTTGATATTTGGCTCTGTTGACGAATGAGTTTTCCGACCACTGGGCTAGGGCAACAGGTCCTCCTTAGTCAACCATCACTCTGTTAAGTAAAGGGACTACTTGGCAGAGCCACATCTCCTTGGCTAAACCAGCTGCTGGAATGCCATCGCCCATCTGACTTTTATTACAAAGGGAGACAGAGCTGAGGGCTCGAGGGCATCAGTCAAGCTTTCTCTCCCACAGGCCCCGGCACCTGCCCTTGTCACTGAGCATCCTTCATGCAGCCCCACCTCCCACCAGGAGGGAAGCAGCTGCCCTGTCACTGGTCCTGAAACACAGTGACCACAGAACACCTCCCGGGGGCCAGGGACATGCGTTACCCTAATCTCAACAAATACAAATTTCCCATCAAAAGACATCATCACAGGCCAGGCCGGCGTGGCTCAGTGGTTGAGTGTCGATCTATGAACAGGAGGTCACAGTTCGATTCCCGATCAGGGCACATGCCCGGGTTTCGGGCTCGATCCCCAGTAGGGAGGCGTGTGCAGGAGGCAGCTGATCAATGATTCTCTCTTATCTTTGATATTTCTATCTCTCTCTTCCTCTCTCCTCCTCTCTGAAATCAATAAAAATATATATTAAAAAAATGCTGCCGAAACCGGTTTGGCTCAGTGGATAGAGCGTCGGCCTGCAGACTGAAAGGTCCCAGGTTCGATTCCGGTCAAGGGCGTGTACCTGGGTTGCGGGCACATCCCCAGTGGGAGATGTGCAGGAGGCAGCTGATCGATGTTTCTCTCTCATCAATGTTTCTGACTCTCTGTCTCTCTCCCTTCCTCTCTGTAAAAAATCAATAAAATATATTTTTTAAAAAATGCATCACCACATCCTGAAAATGTCAGGAGTCTCACAAATGCATGTCCTGTCCACCTCGTGTGAACACGTCAAAAAACCTTCAAGATGCCCTGCGGCTATACGTGCATAACCCATGGACACAGACTATAGTGTAGTGAAGGCCTGGGGTGGGGAGGGCACTAGAAGGGGTCAGTGGGGAAGTAAAGGGGACATATGTAAAACTTTCAACAATGAAGATTTTTAAAAAGTAAGGAACTCCATAGGGGGAAATGCCCTGCTGCTAAATTCCCTGTTTCTGGTCAAAGTGACAAGGAACAGAGTCTCGACCACGAATCGCCCCGGCTTTATCTTATGGACAAATCACTCACTTGGGAATGGTTGCTCGACGTCTCGATTTTCTCCTGCGACTTGTCTCTGGCGAGTCTGGCGGCTTCTTTCACCTCCTGGAACTTCTCTGCGAACTGAACATGAAGAGCAGTTACGAAGGATTTCATGGCTGACAATCCTCACGCAGCTTAATTAGCTTGCGTCCGTGTTAGGCCAATCGATTCGGTACCGATCCTGAAGAAGGATTTTACTTGAGATAGAAAAGAAATGGACATAAGGAACTCTTCTTCCAATAAACACCATTGGCCAAAGTCTGATCCGGGTCAATTCTGCAGCTACTGAAGCTAGTGTGATGATGAAGGATGGAAACAGACACCCCTGGTTAACGGTAACTCATGCAAAGGCAAGAAAAGAAGCTTAGTTTTACCACAGAAGGAATCGGAAGAAAACAACATCATGTCTAAGGAAAGATCCAAGAACTCTTACAAATCAATGCAATGCAATAAAAAAAAAAATCCAAAAAGTTAGGGAGGAGACACTGTTCTAGATTTTAATAGCGTAAGATATGAAATACCAAAATGCCAAATAGCAAAATGCAACACATACTCTATGACTGAACCCTGTTTTGAATGGACTACCTATAAGCAACAGGGGAAATGTGACCGTGGACTGGACAAGACGACAAAGAAGAATCACTATTAATTTTATTACAAGTGTTGCCCTGCCTGGCTAGTGTGGCTCAGTGGTCGAGCATCGACCCGGGAATCAAGAGGTCACCGGTTTGATTCTCTGTCAGGGCACATTGATCCCCAGTAGGGGGCGTGCAGGAGGCAGTGGATTGATGATGTTTCTCTCTCATCGATGTTTCTCTCTCTCTATCCCTCTTCCTTTCTCTCTAAAAATCAATACAAATATTACCCCCCAAAAAAAGTGTTTCCCTGGTCAGTTTTCTAAGTGGTTAGAGCAGGGGTAATCAAACTACGGCCCGTGGGCCACATGCAAATACAAATATTGTATTTGTTCCCGTTTTGTTTTTTTACTTCAAAATAAGATATGTGCAGTGTGCATAGGAATTTGTTCATAGTTTTTTTTTAAACTATAGTCCGGCCCTCCAATGGTCTGAGGGACAGTGAACTGGCCCCCTGTTTAAAAAGTTTGAGGACCCCTGGGTTAGAGCATCAGCCCACAGACCAAAGGGTCACAGGTTCGATTCCCAGTCAAGGGCACATACCTTGGTTGTAGGTTCCCCAACCCTGGTAGGGACGTATGTGGGAGGCAACCAATTGCTGTGTCTCTCTCACATCAATGTTTCTCTCACTCTCTGCCTATTCCCTCCCTCCTGCTCCCTCTAGAAATCAGTGGAAGAAATATCCTCGGGTGAAGATTTTTTTAAAAAAAGTGATGCCGAAACCGGTTTGCAGTGGATAGTAGAGCGTCGGCCTGGGGACTCAAAGGTCCCAGGTTCGATTCCGGTCAAGGGCATGTACCTGGGTTGCGGGCACATCCCCAGTAGGAGGTGTGCAGGAGGCAGCTGATCGATGTTTCTCTCTCATCGATGTTCCTAACTCTCTATCTCTCTCCCTTCCTCTCTGTAAAAAATCAATAAAAATAAATTTAAAAAAGACATTAAAAAAAGTGCTAATGGTATTATGTCGAAAAATGTCATTTTTTAAGAAATAAATTCTGAAATTTTTAGGCGTAAAATGCTTTCTTTGATGTCTGTAATTTAACGTACTTCAGCTACAATAAAACATAAAGAAATGTGGCAAACGTTAACAACAAGGCGATGTGTACGCGGGTGTTTATTATACCATACCTCTCTCGAAGTTTAAAAAAATGTTTTAATATTTTCATAATAAAAAAAATCCTTAAAAATCCCAGAACAATCACACCAATCATGACCTACAGTGACTGACAAGGCAACTGGTTTTAATTAGCAAGGACACTGTGCGAGCACAGAACATTCGGTGACAGGCAGTGCCGGCGTGACAAAACACGAGAGCAGAATGTGGTTGCTGAGAAACAAAAAAGCGAGCCAGTCACAAGGCCACCGACAACGCGTGGCTTTTGCTAAAAACTCACGAACCTCTGAGCACAGGCTACCCTCTGAGCGCGTTCACACGGCCGACGACGGTGGTCTGCTCGGGGAGCCCTCGCCAGATGGCGGACGCTGGTGAACCTAGCACCCTGGTCGAAGCAGAAAGGCCAGCCTTGCTGTTCTGGCCCCTGTGGCCCCTGCAGGCCCATCAGTAAAGCCATAGCCTCCTGGCCAGTGTGGCTCAGTGGTTGAGCGTCAACCCATGAACCAGGAGGTCACGGTCCGATGCCTGGGTTGTAGGTTCGATCCCCAGTAGGGGCTGTGCAGGAGGCAGCTAATCAATGATTTTCTCTCATCATGGACGTTTCTAGCCCTCTCTCCCTCTCTCTGAAATCAGTGAAAACATATTTTTAAAAATTAAATTTAAAAAAAACCACACACAACACAAAGCCACAGCCATGGGGCTTCATATCCCAAAGGTGACATCTTTTGATGACATAATAATGTCAAGTTTTTCAATATAAAAGGAAAAAGAGTAAATCAGAAGGAAAACCGGTGCCTGGGGGAAATAGCTAGGCTAGTACAACAGCAAAGGGGCCATTATCTTCAGTAAAGAAAGAGTTTGTGCAAATTAAAAAATAATATGTTTTTATTAATTTCAGAGAGGAAGGGAAAAGGACATAGAGAAACATCGATGAGAGAGACACATCCATCAGCTGCCTCCTGCACGCCCCCGACTGGGGATCGAGCCTGCAACCCAGGCATGTGCCCAGAATGGAATCGAACTGGGGACCTCTTGGCCCCTGTGTCCATGCTCAAGCATGGAGCCACACCAGTTGGGCTGTGCACATTTTTTTAATGAGAGAAAGTTTATTTAGGGAGTCACAGAGGTAGCGGAAGTGAGCCAGCCTGGCTGTGTAGGCTCAGGAAGCAAGTCGCAGAAGCAGAAGGAGGGCCCTTGGAGCGGAGGGGAGAGAAAAGTAACGCTCCTGGGGGAAGGCGAGGGGGACGGAAAGGCGAGGGGTGCTCCCAAGGGGGAGAGCACCGAGTTTGTGCAAACTGAAAAGGCAATTATGCAAACCCCAACAGAGAAATGTCAAGACCCACAAATAAAAAACCACAATAAGTCAGCAACCTACAGAAAAGGGGCTCCGCCTCACTGAAGAAGCCAATCGGAATAACGAGGTCCCATGCTCTGCCTGCTCAGGCACCGAACACTCACACACCATCACAACGCCCGGAGCTGGCAGGACACTCCCGGGAGCTCGGGGTATTGGTGCAGCCCCTCGAGAAGCAATTTGGAGAAATGTATCACAAGCGAAAAAAATATTCATGCCCACTGGCTCCGTGATAACACTTCTGGGAAACGGTTCTATGAAAACAATTGAGAATATGAAAAAAAAAAGGCCTTCGATAGATTAAGATCCCAGATTCATTTGTAATAATGAGCACTGGAAGCAATCCAGACGCCCTGGGAGCACGCTCCCCCCCAGCTCCCACTGAGAGAGGAGAAGCACTTGTTAACCAGAGAGGAGCCAGATGGCTCTCCTTTGCTGAAACATCCCTCCTTCCAAGCCTTCAGGTTTATAATAGCCCCCGCCCCCCTTATAAAAAAGCACACGTGCTTATACATTTAGAACGCAACGTTGAAAAAAAATTTTTTAAACCTATACTCCCACCACCCAGAGATAAACACTAACCACATATCTTTCTGCTATTTTTCTATCTGTATGTATACATCTGTTACACATATTTTCATATGTATATTTTTTATTAATATCAGAGAGGAAGGGAGAGGGAGAGAAGGATAGGAACATCAGTGATGAGAGAGAATCATGGATCGGCTGCCTCCTGCACGCCCCACACTGGGGATCGAGTCTGCAACCCGGGCATGTGCCCTGAGTGGGAAATGAACCGTGACCTCCTGGTTCATAGGTCGACCTTCAGCCACTGAGCCACACCGGCCGGGCCCACATATCTCTTTTCTAAAATGAAGTTATATTGTATCTCACTTTATACTATTTTCGAAATTACTAAGATGACATTAATATCTCTATGTAATTACAGGATCTTCTATTAGATCGTCTGAATTGCTGTACAATATTACCCCAAAGGACATACTGGCGTTTATCTAACTAATTTCCTACTGCTGGACATTTAGGTTGGTTTGGTTTTTGTTTGTTTGTTTTTACTGTTATAAATGATGCTGCAAGGAAAATCCTTATAGCTAAATCTCTGTACTCGGTTACAATTATTTCCTGAAAATAGATTCCAGTAAATAAAACCCATTAATCAAAGGCTAGTCAAACCACAATGGTGTCTGAAAGGTATGCCCAATTCTCGTCTTTTACTTATTAGGACCATTCTCTGCAGTGGTAATGTAATAACTTTCATCAGAATGGAAGTATCATCACCATCACAGAAAACTAAAGACACTGATTTCATTTTATTTCTGGCTTTTCTGGCTTTTCTGGCCTTGGCAATTGAAGACACTGCCTAGCTGCTTAGTCAAAGGCCATTTCTTTTTTTCCTTTAGCTTAACAGAATCTCAAATTTGTCCGGAGCAGGAAATTTCCTAGGTGATAAAGAATGAGAACTGGCCCTAGCCGGCTTGTCCCAGTGGATAGAGCATTGGCCTGCGGACTGAAGGGTCCCAGGTTCGATTCTGGTCAAGGGCACATGCCTGGGTTGTGGGCTCCATCCTCAGTAGGGGGTGTGCAGGAGGCAGCCAATCAATGATTCTCTCTCATCATTGATGTTTATATCTCTCTCTCCCTCTCCCTTCCTTCCTGAAATCAATAAAAATATATTTAAAAAAATGAGAACTGGTCTAAGCCAATCATGGCACCCAATTCTGTACACCTCCCCCCCTCCCCGCCCCTTTTTCTGGGGGAGTGGAAGGATGGCCTAGGGACCCAAGACTGACAATGGACCCAAGGGAGTCTGCCCAGGGCGTTTAC